TAGATTTTAGGAAGCTCAACGAGAAAACAGAGAAAGACAGATATCCCATGCCCAATACAAATGATGTCTTAGACAAGATTGGCAGAGCCAAATATTTCACAGCCCTAGATCTCGCTAGTGGGTACCATCAAATTGAAATGGAACCAAGAGACACGGCCAAGACAGCCTTCACGGCTCAGGGAGGCCACTACGAATTTGTTCGTATGCCTTTTGGTCTGACAAACGCCCCAGCCACTTTTCAAAGAGTGATGGATAATGTTTTGGCGGACCTCAACGGAGACTGTTGTCTAGTATATCTAGATGACATCATAGTTTTCTCTCCCTCATTACAGGAACACATTAACGACCTAGATTCCGTACTGTCCAGATTAAAACGAGCAAATTTAAAGATTCAACCAGATAAGTCTGAGTTTTTACGTAAATCGAGACTTATCTGGGAATCGAATATCTGGGACACATTGTCACAGAAGAGGGCATCAAACCAAATCCCAAGAAAATTGAGGCTATAAAAGCCTTTCCGATCCCAACCATAAAGAAAGAAATAAAATCTTTCCTGGGTCTGTTGGGATACTATAGAAAATTCATCCGGGATTTCGCTAAGATCACAAAGCCATTAACGAAACAATTAAAAGGGAAAGCTTCAATGTTACTTACGGAAGAATACAAAGAAGCGTTTAATGTTTGCAAAACCTTACTGTGCAATGATCCCCTATTAAAATACCCTGATTTTAATAAATCTTTCATTCTGACGACAGATGCTAGCAATGTGGCGATAGGTGCGGTTCTGTCACAAGGAACGCTGGGTTCCGACAGACCGGTATCGTTCGCAAGTAGAACTCTCAACGATCGGGAGACAAGTTACTCGACTGTTGAGAAGGAGATGCTAGCTATTATATGGGCGACTAAGTATTTTCGACCCTATTTGTTTGGCAAAAGATTTCAAATAGTTACCGATCACAAACCACTAACGTGGTTGATGAATTTCAAGGAACCCAACTCCAAGTTGGTCAGATGGAAGCTACAATTATTGGAGTACGATTATGAGGTAGTGTACAAGAAAGGAAGAGTAGTAATACAAAAAAACTGTATCTCTGAATCCTCAACCAATAGATTGTCCGATTCCATAACTATAGCTGATAGACCGATCAATGAGTTCAATACACAGTACATTTTCGAAATAGGTGACGAAAACAAAAAATTGTATTTTATTTAAAAACAAACTCAGACGCACCATATCCAGAGTTAATTTCGACATCAACGGTATTACCGAAATCCTACAGGAAATCCTAGTACTTAGCAGACTACACGCCATATTCGCTCCAAAAGCAATTTTTAAACTGATAGAGGAAGTTTACCTCAAACACTTTAAGAACTATAAATTAATCAGATGCAAAGATTTTTTGATAGACGTTACTACCACACAAGAACAGGAGACGGTGATTAAAGACTACCATCAAAACAATAATCATCGTGGTATCGAAGAGACCCTGAGTCATTTAAAAAGAACATTATATTTTCCCTACATGAAACAGAAGATCACCCAAATAATCAATCTTTGCGACACATGTCACAGACTGAAATGTGATAGAAGGCCCCCCAAGCCAGTATTCCAGAAAACTGAAACGCCCGAGGTACCCTTACAGATAGTGCATATGGACATTTATACGATTAATGGTCAGACAATTCTTACACTAATCGATAAGTTCTCTAAATTCGCAAGCGCTTATACAATTCCGGCAAGGATCTGTATAAACGTGATCAAGTCGTTGAGGCACTATTTTTGTTTTGTGGGGGTACCAACAAAACTGATTTTTGACCAAGGCGCTGAATTTTCTGGAAAGATTTTCTCTGATTTTTGTAAACAATACAATATTATAACCCATGTTACGTCATTCCAGCAGTCTACGAGTAACTCACCTGTAGAAAGACTGCACTCTTCGCTGACCGAAATTTACAGAATTATTTATGATACCAGAAAGGCTCACAAGCTGGAACTGGATCATGAAGAAATTTTGTTCGAAACCCTAACCACCTACAATAATAGCATACATTCTGCCACAAAGCATACTCCGTTTGAATTACTTTCGGGAAGAACCCACATTTTTAATAAAGATATTGAATATAATTCCAACATGATTATCTGCAGAAACTAAACGAGTTTCAAAATACATTATATCCCAAGATTAAAGCACAACTAGAAGAAAAGATGAATCGCAGAATTGATAAACTCAATGAAAATAGGGAACAGCCCAACCTAGTTAGGACGGACGACATTGTATTCCGTAAGGAAAATAGACGGAACAAACTCACCCCCCGTTTCTCGCAACACAGGGTACTAAAAGATGACAGGATAACACTAATTTCGGAAAAAAAACAAAAATTACATAAAGCCAAAATAAGAAATAGAATTAAAACAAACCAAATTCCCATTAATCTTACAGATTTGCGTTCGTCGCAGCACAGGACTTAAACGTCCAACCACTGGGAAAAGATACCCCCCTACTTAAGCTAAATCTAGGACCCGCCAAGATCGTTCAATCACATAAATATCTCACACATGTAATTAATTTACAAGACTTAATAGATGTTGTTGTAAATTTCGAAAGAGCAGTTTATAAATTAAAAAGAAATTTGGAATCTGACGACGCGGTGGACAGTCTATCTACAAAACTGCAACAGCTAAAAAACAGAGTAGAAATGTTATTACCCAAGAAAATACAAAAACGCGGACTAATTAACGGTCTAGGAAAGGTCATTAAGGTAGTGACAGGAAACTTAGACGACGCAGACGGACGCAGAATAGAGAATAATTTTAAAGCTATTATAGAAAATCAGAAGGAAGTAACATTAAAGATTAACAATCAAGAAATATTCAATAACGAAATTAAAGTCAGATTTGAAAATATCACAGATCACAAGGAACAACAAATAATCAACCATTTCTTAAACAATTACAAAAATACTATCTTAAAAACCATGAATTCGGAACACCAATTATTACATACTATTCAATACATATCTAGAATAAATATTAATATAGACGTATTTTCAAATTATTTAAGTAACATTGAAGAAAGCTTGCTGTTTGCAAATTAAAGATCGTACCAACTTTTATCGTGTCCAAACAAGAGTTAGATTTAATCAGGCAAGAAATAAATGATTCAGATTTACAAAACTTAAAAGACGAACACATGATAGAAATGCTAGAATTGGATACTTTTATGATCGGAATCAAGATAAATTTTGGAATAAAAATACCAACATTTAAACAAAATTGTTACCAATTCATACACTTGGTCCCCCTTCCCATTAACGAATCTAAATTTCTAATCCTCACAAGTTATATGGCCTTTTTATAATTCCGAAGATGTATATTACTTCACGAACAGATGTAACAAGATAAACAAATATTTCATATGTGAAAACACAGTTACAACCTTAGATAACTTTAACACTGAATGCTTAAATAACATATTGTCTTTAAACCCTACAAATTGTAAAGTCAAAGATACTGGAAATCAAGAAATAATTACAGAAATAGAACCAGCTTACATATTGATCTTAAACACAATAAACACTACAATCGAATCTAATTGTACTACTAAGATTGCTGTAATAGGATCTGCTTTAGTTACGTTCAAAAATTGTAAAGTATACATAAATCAGATCCCATACGATAAAGAGTTGTCAATATTTGAAGAAAAAATAGAAACCACTATTCCGATCATTCAAAATATCAATTTCACGGAAAACATTGAAGACAACTTACACAAACTAAATTTAAGGTCCATCAATGCTTCCAATTCCATAATTTACTGGAAAAATTTTACGACCACAAATTTTGGAGCGGTATACTTCTTAATATTAACTGGAGTCCTGGCATCAATCATACTCATCAACACAAAGAAGAGGGTTGTTTTCACCACCATACCAGAGCCGAGTTTCGTGTCGTCCACGCCGTCACTTTGGCCGTCACTTCAATCCAGGGGGGAGGAGTTACCGACCAGTCGTTAGGTAACGAGCCTCCAGCTAAACCTCCCAGAGCTACCCTGGAATTGGTACACTGACCGGGTGCCTTCTTACTTTGCGTTGCAAGAATGTTGCAATCTAAACAACAGCCCAAACTGGGACAACGACCACTTGAGTCGTTGCCCCGTCGAAAGATTGCTGACACTGCAACAGGATGCCCCTACCCCAAAACGCGGGTCAGATGACACAGGCAAACGTTCGAGGAAGTCTTTGTAAACATTCGTTTATTTCACTTTGTATTTTATGCTTAAGCAATCTATGTATTAGCATATAAGAACTTATGTACACTCGGCAGCTGTGGCAACTTGGTCGCCGCTGAAGAATATATTGGCAGTCTTAAAAGGCAACTCAAAGGCGTACGTTTACTTATTCCAACTCTTATAAAAATTCATAAATTGAAATACACCGACTACCACTTGGAGAAGACCGGAATCTGGCAGAACCCCTAGCCACCCAGGACTCCTAAGAGGATAACCATAACTCGCTCACGTCATAAGCTCACTCAAGTCGAGCGTATGCAGCCATCTCAGTCTTACTCAAGACTCTTGGTATCTTACCATCGAACTTCACTCAGCAGCAGAGCGTCTCTGACTCTACCGCCGTTCTTTCGCTCAATATCAGCTAGTAAAGCAGAAGCAGGGAGTTCCCAAATTACCGGAATGCTACATTTACTAGGAATAACACTGCGACACATACTTTATAGGGTCGGAAACGGTCCCTTCTGTTACATACTTTTCAACGAATTTAGTATACCCTTTTAATCTACCAAAATAAATATGTTAATATCATACCTAAAATATGACATTTAAATTTTGGAATTATCTTTCATAGTTTAGTCGCAATAACGATTCGAAATTGCATGCTTCTGCTGAACGAAATAAGCTGCGACCGACTGTATATGTTTTTATTCGCCACGAATGTTGTGAAGGCGTTTAGAATCATGGGTACGAAAAATAATAATCAGAACGTAGTTCAAGCACTATTTATATTTATATATTATATATGTATATATATTAGGTATAATTTATAGACTACCATGATAGTGGTCAAATCTCATGAAGATAAATTTGTTGATCTCAACGAAGACGAATATCAAGCGTATTTGGGCGTGCTCAATCTTGATATGTACTAAAAATTATCTATGGCCTGCTTCTCAAAGTGCCAATTCAGTTTAAAATCTATTGGATCACTTAAGATTAGGCCATATTCCACAATACGACCGTTGCAATTTACATTTCAATTTTTTTAAATATTTCATTAATTTCTTCATTTTTTAATTTATTTAATTCGCAGATTGACAATTTTGTATTTTACAAACTCTTAAATGAGTTTTTGACTTAGCTTACTTATAAAAGGTCAAATTCATATTTTACCTAGAATGCATAGAAAAATTTCTAATATTTATTATATTTTTTGCTTTTGTCCGTGTGCTGAGTCACATCATTAAATATTCTTTTGTTAAAGATTTGAAAGCTCTTGTCCTCAAGCAATTCATTAACTAGAGACATATTTTTTCTTGCCTTTTTTTCTTCATCGTGTTCTAAAGCCGAATGTTGCACAGTTCCTATTTGAAAAAATGTAGGAAGACATTTTCGATCGTTTTTCTTGTAGAATTGTTTAGGGTTTAAAACCGATCGCATTTGAATTATTTTAAGTTCGTTCCGCATTCCCTCTGTGACTTCTGAGGCAGGAAAGTAAGCCCAATCTCCTCCCTTAGTTTTGGAGCTTTTAGCCTAAAAATTAAGACGATTAAGAAAGGAATAAAGTATAAATGCTGAAGTTGCCCATCTTGTTTTCAGATTACTAAAGTCGTCGTCAATATGGCAACTTTCTCAGACATAATTAATTTAGACCACAGTTCTTTCATAACATTTAAGATGATATTGTGTAGGCTAGTTACTTAGTTATCTGACTTGGCATTCTCGACAGACAACTCTAGTTTTGTGTCTTTTTGTGTTCCGTTAGCCTTACGGTAACTGCAAAATCTGATACGCAGCCACCAAGATTTCAACGGATAAAGCTAAATATTCCAACGGCTAACCATTAAGTCTGATCATTCACTTGCCACGCAATCATATGCAATTTTCGATGTCGAAAATGTCATCATAGAGGAAGCGATGTTTGTTACGTACAAGCTTTATACTTACTTTGCTCCTTTTAAGCTTATTATGAATTTTTTCTACAGTAGGATGTGCAATGCGCTGATCTACATTTGAAGTCATCGCCAGTCGCGATTGTTTTGTACAGTTGTCTAGGCGGACTTTCAGTTCTGGACTGATATTCAGCACCGTATTCCGCTTCATATTTGCCAATTTCCAAGTAGAGGAGTTTTCTACTACCTTTTCGACTTGTTCGGTTATGTTGTCCAAGTGCATTGTAACCTTTGTGAACTCTTTTCGGATGATAGGCAAAGTATTCACGACACTGAGCACTTCTTTGCAGCACAGGCTCAGGCCGAAAAATTTCACCTCATCTTTCTTTTCGATTTTACTTATACTCTGCTTTGGCAATACCAGCTCAGCATTGTATTGTCTCTCATCAATAAAATCTACATTTTGGCCTACGGTGTCTAAAAAAATACGAGACTCCATTTTCTGTGCCTCAGAAAAGAAACGTTGAGCAATAAAACCTATTGATGGTGACGCCGTGGTCCGGACTATCGATTGTTGCCACTATCGATTGTTGGCGCTGTTGTCCACCGACAATATCCCATATATACTATTTTGGATGTAAGAGTAAGAAAATGGCAGTCGCTTTAAAATTCAGAAGTTGCCGTTACCATTTCGCAAACAAAACTTTTGTCTATAGAATATCAACAAAGTCACTCTTCTACAGACCCGTTGTCCCACTTCTTGAAACACTAGATAAAATAAAAGAAGAGAAGAAAAGCCACATATCATCAAAGTCAGTCTTCTACAGACTTCTTGTAGGGGGAACACTGCGGTAAGATTAAGATTGAGATTCTGTAATGTGGGGCTAATTTAAGCAATTTCAGAATAAAACCGCTCGCCACAGCCACGGCCATAGGTCCTTAAAGCTACACCCTTTCTTTTGGACCTACGCGTTTGGGGGGCCGTTAAAGGCAACTCCACATGAGGCAAGACATACATATATATTTTTCATGCACGATGTAAGTATGATATTTTCCCGTGCCTGCGCAATCCATATTTGAAAAAGGAAAAGGAAAAATTTAATACAAAACAATTTTAATTAAACAAATCTATCAAACCAAAATAATGCTTTTAAAGTACTTAAATGCATTTTATTGCGCAACTTTGTATTCACTCAATTCATTTGGCTAAAAGCCCGCTTTATTTTCGCATTGGACGACAGTAATTGCATATGAATTGCAAATAAGGCAAAGGACTCAAATGGTCTATTTCCACCAGCATCCCTATAATCCAATGCCTCTGCCCAATATGTTACGGTATCATTAATATTTTCCCTTCCAATGAGATGAATTTTATCTATTTGGGATATTTTCGTGCCGTAAATGATCATTTTCTTACAAAACACAAAGTTAATGTCCCCAATTTATTTATAGCTATATTATGCTAGAAGAATAGAAATTAATATAAACCTTCTCTCAAGATATAAGCTAGATGGAAAGCTTTCAAGCTATTCCAGTTTAAAAATATTCTAGAACTAGCTATAATAAGCTGAAATGGCAACAATGGTACTAAGATTTGCATCGTAACATTGGTGTTTCCGATAAGAAAATCGAAGACTGTTTTTCAACTCTGCGAAAACGCTTCATCTGTTAATTAGAGCTGTAAACAATTGTACTTATCGAAAATCGATTCTTTTTAAATCAATTCTTAAAAAGATCGATTAAATCAATTTAAAATCTAAAATTTTTTTAGGTGAGCAAACCTGTCGATGCATTGATTCCGTAAAAAACGAAGAATTTTAGAGCTATTTACAACTCTACATTTAATATACACAAAGGTAATAAATCATTAAGGTTGGTTTACACTGAGCTTGAAAAAATATTGTCAGATTATATGGGTGCAAATTTGCCTACTAAATGTACTCGTTTGTTTGAATATATATATGTATGTATTTAGTATTTGATATGCTCGATACGTTCTTAATTTTATATTATTTTACATATTTGCATTTTGTATATATTATTTTGTACGTTTTTAACCAATTATCTCTAAGCTGTTTATAAATGTTGACCTCAGGTCCGAAAATCCCTTTTGCAGGGCAAAAAAGTAATATGTAAAATAATTTAGGTAACGGGGCGACGGTAATGACCGATCGTCCGATGACCAGCGCCGGCCAAACTGATTACGTAGCGTATTTATGTTAGTTCTTAAGTTCAATTCGTTTTTGATGTTCAAACAATAAAGAGCACAAGCTCGATAAATGCAACTCCGGCAAACGGCCGTTAACTCTTAATTGAAAATAATTATCGTCTTAATTTAAATCATACTGACTGAGTCTCTAGCCCAGCAGTATATGAAGGACAGTTCCCCTTCCAACGTAAGCCTATCCTATCTCATCATAGGAATACCACGGCCAAGCGTCCTATCGTTATCAACAACCTTGTGACCTAACACACCAGCCATCCTGCTCCTACGCACCATGACTGCAGCGAGAGATTTTACTGCAGCAGGACAATTATTCATTTGTATGTATCTGTCAACCAAATATCACAAGAAGTTATTTATTTTTTTATTTTCTCGGTTTTATAAAATAAAAGGTTTTGAATAATATACGCAAATTAATCACCATAGCGTTTGAGGATAATTAAATGATCTCTCGAACCGAAAATTTCGAAACTCATCCCTTAAAGGCAAGAATCAGTTTATAACTATTATAAAAAACTTTGCAAATTTGCATAACATACATATGTAACTCAAGACAACACCACATGCTTTGCTCCCACGCAGATAATGTCCAATGGATTTACCACTGGCAAGATGACAACACATGATTACACATAAATTAAATATTCAGCTCTTCAAAAATTCATATTTAAGTAGAATTCAACGGATTAGTAAAAACTATCCCGCCTGTAAGTTAACAGTTAAGCTACGTCACCACCGGCTCATCCATGGGCGGCATCACCATCGGGCCACCCTAACTAGCGCCCAACTACAAAAAGAATTAGCGACCCTAAAATCAAGGAACACAAGTAATTGCTAAATGTTTAGTTCCTTTACGGCTTCATTAAACAATGCAATACATAAATACATTCATATGCATATATATTGAATTGTTTAATGAATGTCTTACATGTTGTTAAGTTTTACCGATCTGGTAATTAACCCTTTTGTGAATTTATCTGTTGGTGTTTGCTTTGCCGGGAACACCTCCTACAATCACTCTTTGCTAGTCTGTATACAAGGGGACACAACTATACATGGTGGCAAACATAACTAAAAATTATTAATTCCAACGGGATCGTTCTTCGCTTCTTCTTGGCGGTGAATTCTGATTTACATAACTGAGTAAGTAGACAAGCTGTGCGCAAAACAAGAATTAATTATGTTTTCTAATTGCATTATTATTTGGGGTGGTGAGTTGGGTTCGTATTTTACACTTGCCAGCATGAAGGCTGAATCGGATGCTCCCGCTTTGGATCAGTTGGTCAATTTGCAGGCAAATAGATTCCCATTCCTAAAATCAATGTTTCAAGGAAAAGATTCGCAATCCAGGAAATTAGGATTTATTTGGTCCGGGAGACGGATTCGGTGTTTGCGAACCTGAAAGGATTTTCTGATTCGACCTGTGCAACGAAGGATTTCCACTCGGAGTTCGAAGAGCGGTACACGGATGCATATTGCGCTTTCTCTGAGGATTTGGACAAGCTTCGACCAGAGGCTCGTGCGCCTTAACCACCAGAGTCTGGTGGCGACGGCGCGGATGTGTGGTTGAACATGCCGCAGATGTCGGTTGGTGGCGACGGCGCGGATGTGTGGTTGAACATGCCGCAGATGTCGGTTCCTAAATTCTCCGGCTCGTGTGTCGATTGGCCAGGCTACTATAATGCCTTCACGAGCCTCATCCACAACAACAGCAATTTGAGTAATGTTCAGAAGCTGCACTTTCTCAAGGAATCGTTGCCAGCAAATCGCAATAACGACATCCGTCAGATGCAGCTCACGGAAGAAAACTATTCAGTGGGCTGGGGAATGATGATCAAGAGGTTAAACAATCCTCGCCTCGTTTTCGCTCACCACATGAACGCTATCTACGTGTTGCCCAGGCTGCAAAAGGACAACACGGATCTAATACACTCGATGCTAAGCACAGTCAATGTTTGCCTGGCTCCATTCCGTCGCGTCCAAGCCTTGGATGGGGAATTGCAGCACTGGTTTTCGCATTACGTAGCATCAAGGTTACCAAAGGAGACCCACAACGCTTGGGAGCACCATCTTCACAAGAGCACTCTGGGCGTCCTAATGGTCCCTGTTACCACTGTGGCGGCGTCCATATTTTGCCCCGTTGCACAACCTTCTTGGACTTGAGAATGATATATATTGTTTAAGTAAGTCGCATGCTCTTTTGCGCTTCACCAGTAATAAAGGCTGTCAAGTTTGTGGACAGCGTCATCACACGTTGTTGCATTTCCCTGTTCTGGCTCATATTCAATCGCCGAGCCACATACCACCGCATCCGGTCCGACCTGTGGTGATGGATCTTAGTGCACCTGCAGTCATGGAGAACGTATTTCAACAGCGCTTGCAGCCAGCGTCGGACCGAAACCCAGACGCATATTTCAAATGTTATCCCTACTCCTCCCTACTGTTCGTATTACCGTGTGGAACACGTAGAACGGTCTGCACACAGTCATAACCGCCCTGGTTGACCAAGGATCTGAGGCAACCATCGTCTCGGAGCACGTAGTGCAGTCCCTGCATCTGAAACGGACTAGCCTAGCACCCGAATATCTATTTTTGGCGTGGGTCTTGGGGGCAGTCGTCGGTGCAAGAATGCTGTAAATTTTAAAATAAATAGCTTTGTTGACCCATATTTTTCAGTTGAAGTTGAGTCAGCATAGGTTCTCAATTCAGTTACTTTCTGTCTTCCGAGTCTCAGCTTCATGCCACAGCGTTAGGATCAACCAAGTCCAGATGAAATGTTCAGTGTCGGAAATATGTCCACTCTCAATCCGTTCACTTACCCACCTCTTTAATAGTTAACTTGTTTCTTGCGTACACTTCTTGTTTACTTTCCATACAAGATATTCTGCCTCACTCACCACCAAGACGGACCGGACAAGCGAAGGTTTTTCATGCTACGTCGAGCAATGGCGGGCGGCATGTTAAGATTACTGCTTGTCCAAGTGTGGTGAAAGCTGGGAGAGTGCAAAGACAGTCGACTTTGCAGATCGCGGATCTACCGCGGGACGCTATTAACCCATTGTACATATTAAACCGATCTGGTAATTAAACGTTTTGTGAATTTATCTGTTGGTGCTTGCTTTGCCTGGGAATCCCTCCTACAATGACCCATTTCTAGTCTGTATACAAGGGGACACAACTATACAAAAGTGTTCCTTGATACATTCATTTGCGTTCAACAGAATCTGCGTCGATGTCAGGCTTAAGGCATCGAATACCACTCTCAATTTGGTTGAGGTGCTTCCCGGATTAGATGCGGAATGAAATAGTGTAAACGATCTGAAATTTTATCATCATGGCACCGGGATGTCAGCGTGGCAGGATGCGGACTTGCGCTTCGCATGGACCTCAAGAATCTTCATGCTTAATCTCAACTTTCTATTTCTTATAGGTCCAGAGATCTCAGCGTTCATACGGACAGACGGACAGACAGATGGACATGGCTCAATTGTCTTCGCTATTTATACTGGTCAAAAATATATATACTTTATATGGCCGGAAACGCTTCCTTCTACCTGATACATACTTTTCAACGAATCTAATATACCCTTTTACTTTACGAATAACTGGTATAAAAATGAATCCGCTATCCGATAAGCATGGAAACCTTTTGGGGATTGAAGAAAAACGGATCGGCCAGTTAAATATTTTCAGGTACCCTCTACTCGCTGGTGTTCACCGCTTGATCCGGATGATGATCACCAGAAATATTTTTGAAACGTACAAATCGGAATCGCAACTTCCCTATTGTGTGTTTTTTCTTCGTTGCTTAGGAATTAGTTTCACCACTCTCTCTTTTCATTTGTAGTCTCTGAGCGAGCTAATCGGTCACAAAATTTACTTGTGAACTAATACGCTCACGATAGCTGTACAAAAATAGTTCTGTCCGAACCAGTCGCATGCAAAACATGCGAAGTGGTCTGAGACTCTTGCGTGAGCGTGAGCTGAAGAGGAGGCCGCAACGAGAGATTTGTATTATCAAAGTATCTGGGCAACAATGGGTGGTGAAAAGATTTACACTCCCTGCATCTGTTCGACTTGAATTTTTTAACTATGTTACCCTTGCAAAGGCAGTTAATGCATAAGGGCACATTTTTTTTTTAACCGAACCTTTTCTGGACATTTAGGGATGCGAAAGAAGACCAATTCCCTTTTTGATGTTCTGCTGACGTGCAAAACACACATAGGGCAGAGTCCTCCCTGATAGCGACAAACGAGAAACTTTTATTTCCACTCTTCTTCGGAAAGGTATTATTAGTCTGAATATTTTTGGGCTTGGAAGCCTCTTCGGCGACTTCGAAGCCAGATGTTGCCAGATATCAGAAAGTCAAAACTGAAGCCATTACACAATTTCTCGGTGTTTCTGATTGCTGGGAGAACGATTTGAACCAGTCAAAGGAAACTCAACAAAACATAGCCAAGGAAAAACGTCCGCAGCACAAGTCCTTTGCAGGGCATTTTCTTATCGAGCAATCAAGGATACGCTATTTCTAGAAGGCTTGGTGTCGGGACGGGCAAGGGGTGCCGACCTCGTGATAGTCAAGGACGACCGATTCCCGCCTTTACAATGGGGACATTTACACACAGTGACGGATGCGTTGGACCGGGTGTAACACTCAAGACCAAGCAAGGCCTGATGAAATTTTCAGTGTCGGAACTTTGTCCACTGTCAATCCGTTCTTAAGCGCCATCACTTACCCACCTCTTTAATAGTTAACTTGTTTCTTGCGCACACTTCTTGTTTAATTTCCCATACTAGATATACTGCCCCACTCACCGCCAAGACGGACCGGACAAGCGAATGGTTTTTATGCTAGGTCCAGCAAAGGCGGGCGGCATATTAAGTTTACTGCTTGTCCCAGTGTGCTGAAAGGTGGGAGCGATCAGCTGATCGCTCTCGCAGTTTGGGACGATGCATGGGATCACGAGATCGAGAGCTGAGAAGAGGGCAGAGGCAGTCAGCTTTGCAGATCGCAAATCTATCGCGGGACGCTATTTACCCATTGTACATATTAAACCGATCTGGTAATTAAACGTTTTGTGAATTTATCTGTTGGTGCTTGCTTTGCCTGGGAACCCCTCCTTCAATGACCTCTTTCTAGCCTGTATACAAGAGGACACAACCGTTTCAAATGTGTTCCTTGATACATCTGCGTCGATGTCAGGCTTAAGGCATCGAATACCACTCTCAATTTGGTTGAGGTGCTTCCCGGATTAGATGCGGAATGAAATAGTGTAAACGATCTGAAATTTTATCATCATGGCACCGGGATGTCAGCGTGGCAGGATGCGGACTTGCGCTGCGTATGGATCTCAAGTATCTTCATGCTTAATCTCAACTTCCTAGATCTCAGCGTTCATACGGACAGACGGACAGACAGAAGGACATGGCTCAATCGTCGTTGAATTTTTTAACTATGAGACCCTTGCGAAGACCAATTCCCTTTTTGATTTTCTGCTGACGTGCAAAACACACATAGGGCAGGGTCCTCCCTGAAAAACTTATTTTCACACTTCTAGGGAAGGTATTATTATGCTCAATATTTTTGGGTTTGGAAGCCTCTATGGCGACCATGTGCTGGTATCGCCTGTCCAGAGCCGTGCCACATTTGTTCCAAAGCGTAAGCGATGTATAATCCAATTGTTCTTTCCCTATCTGTAAGTTTCTCCATCGGCTTTTGTCATTATTAAATTAATGAGGATGGTATACGTTTGTCATCCCCAACATATTTTTTTTTAAATTACGGTATTTATTTATCGAATCTTCTCTCCTTGAGACTGACGACATGCTATCAAATCTTAGCCTAATACATAAATTTAAAACATAAATTTTTGGGTGAACTGCCCTAGCTTCACCGGAGTCGTGAGTAGCTAGTGTTCCATGTTAGAGACCGCACAATCCTATTTAGATGAGCTTTTGGCTGGATCGTATATTTTACTTTTACATTTTCGATTTCGTCTTTAACAGATCCCACATTTAAATCTCTGTGAATGTTTTCATTCCGTATGGTGCACCATTTATAGTTTTCAGTATATTTGATTCTGGGTTGCTAAGGCATGCCATAGCCCGGAGCCATATTTCCAAATTGGCTTAAGAACTGTTTTGTACAGAAGTACCTTGTACTCCTAATATAGCGGAGAACGGTCATTTATTAACCAATGTAGGTTTCTTGCTTTTAGCTGCTGCGTACCTCTTATTGGGCACTTTGATCGACTTAGAATGGCAGTATCATCAGCAAATGTTGACGTTGCTGTGAGACTGGTTATCGGAAGGTCTGCTGTGGAAATTATATATAGTTTTGGTCAAAGCACGCTACCTTGTGGTACTCCTGCTTCAATTGGATGGTATTCGGAGAGGAAGTCTTTACATCGTACTGGGAAACTTCTATGCCCAAGATATGACTCCAGTACTTTATGGGTGTTCTGTGGAAGCAAGGTTTTAATTTTAATTTTTAGTGATGACAAACCAATTTCATCATGCTGTTGAATTTCGTGGTGACAAGATTTACTGCACAGTTCGGCAATTCTATAATAATTTTGTGGCAGATTAAATAGTGTCCTGGCGCTTTATTTTTTACTTGAGCCCTGAGATGTTTATTTGGATCACAAAGCTATTCTCCTGTTTGTGTTTGTAGTGGCGACTCACTTTCGATTGGTGGACATATAACTGATTTAGCTTTCCACGTTTGCTGTTTGAGAGAGATGCTTCAAATAGGATAATTGAGATCGATTATTTTTATTTTCTAAGCCTTTGCGTAGAAGATAGATTGCTGTCTTAAGCCTCTCCTTTGCGGCAGGCGATCTATGGGCTTGCCAGTTCCTCCGGAGCCTTCTCTTATTGCGTAGCAGTTCGTCGATGGTTAAAGCCCGCCAGTTGTTATCAGGATTACAAGCCGATATAATAAGGGTGGTGTGTTGTGCAGCTAGTGACATAACAGACACTAGTTCTTAAGCTGTCAATCTCTTCTTTTTGGTACATGTTTGAGAAGCCATCAATATGGGTACTTACATACTTTATGTATTTAAGTCAATCTGTCTGTCTTACGAGAGGTTAGAGCATTAGGATCTGTTGGCCAATATGTAGGCTTGCCAGGAGAGATAAGACCAAGCTTACAATACAGCTG